TAGAATTTTAGTTTGGTTCTTTTTTTATAATTAGCCAATTTGTGAAGCCCACACAGTGACCTTTTCCTTTCAGCTGTTACACATTTCAGTTCTAGAGTTTTCATTTGGTTCTTTTGTTATAATCTCAGTTTCTCTGCTACGGTACTTTTGTTGGGAAGAGGATCCTCCCTTTTACTCTCTACGTGGAATAAATGTTCAGTCTTTTTCTAGTTGTCTGGTTAAGCATTGTGAGGGAGTTGATCTGACAGTCCGATCACTTATAAACAGGTTGTCAAATAATCCTCCTTAATTGAATTTACCTGTATTTTATTGACTACGTAAAGGCATTTGACTGTGTGGATCATAACAAATTATGGATAACATTGAGAAGAATGGGAATTCCAGAACATGTCATTTTGTTCATGGGGAACCTATACATGGATCAAGAGGCAGTCGTTTGAACAGAACAAGGGGACACTGAGTGGTGTAAAATCACAAAAGTGTGCATCAGGGTTGTACCCTTTCACCATACTTATTCAATCTGTATGCTGAGCAAATAATCCAAGAATCTGGACTGTAAGAAGAAGAATGTGACATCAGGATTGGAGGAAGACTCATTAACAGCCTGCATTATACAGATGATACAGCCTTGCTTGCTGAAAGTGAAGAGGACTTGAAGAACTTACTGATGAAGATCAAAGACTCAGCCTTCAGTATGGATTACACCTCGACATAAAGAAAACAAAAATCCTCACACCTGGACCAACAAGAAACATCCTGATAAACGGAGAAAAGATGAAGTTGTCAAGGATTTCATTTTACTAAGATCCACAGTCAACACCCATGGGAGCAGCAGTCAAGAAATCAAATGATGTATTGAATTGGACAAGTCTGCTGCAAAAGACCTGTTTAAAGTGTTAAAAAGTAAAAATGTCACTTTGAGGACTAAGGTGTGAGTGACCCAAGCCATGGTGTTTTCAATCGCCTCATATGCATGCAGAAGCTGGACAATGAGTCGGGAAGACCAAAGAAGAATTGATGCTTTTGAATTATGGTGTTGGCAAAGAATAATGAATATACCATGAACTGCCAGAAGAACGAATAAATCTGTCTTGGAAAGAGTACAGCCAGAATGCTCCTTGGAAGGGAGGATGGCAGGACTTCGTCTTATGTACTTTGGACGGGTTATCAGGAAGGACCAGTCCCTGGAGACGAACATCATGCTTGGAAAAGTAGAGGGTCAGCGAAAAAGAGGGAGAGCCTCAACAAGATGGACTGACACAGTGGCTGCAGCAGCGGGCTCAAACATAGCAACGAATGTGAGGATGGCCCAGGACCGGGCAGTGTTTCCTTCTGTTGTACTTAGGGTCACAATGAGTGGGAACTGATTCGACAGCACCTAACAACAACAGTGTTAAAAAAAAAAAGTTTA